CAAATGTTCCATCAGGGTGATCAGACATGTGTATCAGGAGATAGTAAAAGGACTTGGTCAAAAAGGGCGTTTCCCACAGATTGATGCTAAGTCTTCTACCAAAACAATGGAGGCAGAGGGTGACCTCCACTTGACTCCTCACAGTGCATTTTCATGTGTGAATGCTGGGATGCCTGTTTACACTCTTTTTATTCACACATCAAAGACCTGCCCTTTCTTATGAGTGAGCAGGAAGATTCCAAATGCATTTGGGAGCTCTGGGTGCTGGTTAGACACCGTGAGCCATTTATGGCAAGTACCAGCTTTTGCCTGTAAGGCCAGAAGGGCCTGTAAAATTTGTTCCAGAACCAGTCTGATGCAAGTGCACCTCTAATATATGCCTTACAAACTCCAGAGGCCATATTCAAAACAGGGTCTTCTCAGTGTATGCAAGGGGCGGCAGCCCCTCTCCTCTTCCTCCCCAGGTCGAACAATACGGACAGTTTTCACACATATCTACCTGTATAACCCTCTGTACCTCTCATAACTGGTCAACGACTGTAACAGGTTACATCAGGTGTTTTTCTACATACTTTTTACACAGATTCTATGCGATTAATGTAACTTAATTCAATGCATCATTTTATTGTACTAGTTCTTAGGCTTGTCTTTTTTTTCTAAGTGACTGTGGTTTTCCTTGTGGTTTTTCTTGTAAAATGAAATGGCTGTTGATGCTTATTCTCTGTAACTAAGAATTTTTACCTTTTTGGGGAAAAAAAAAGCATTGCTACGAACTAATGAATTGAAATTTCATTTACTCATTGTAAATACACTATTGTGCAAAAAACAATTTTCACTCAATTGAATTGCTAGTGTTAACTGAATTTTGTCTAGACACCATTTCTGTTGATGAAATAAAGACATATCATTATGCATTGTAAACGGATTCCTCTGCCTTTGATCCCTGTGTTGCACATGACAGAGCTGGAAGCCTTAGGAAGTCTTTTCTCCCAGAAAGGCTGTGTCTGTCCATTCATGTAGCTTGAATCCTTACCTATTACTGATCAGTCATATCAGAAATCTAAAATAGTTAACAATGCTAATGTGACACCTCTAAATTTAAAAATGCCCTAGTTCCTATGAATAGATGAAAGCCATTAAAACAAGTATCTGGGTTTTGATATTGTGCTAGAGAGCCACATAGAATATCACCACCGGGGGGAACAAAGTGAAAGGTTCTTACACAATGGCATACAGTGCTACATGCTATTTCCAAATAAAAGTTTTAATTTAAAACAAAAAATGAAGGCAGGGAGACATCAAACCACACCACGGTACAATATGATGAATTGCAGGGAAAGGAGTTCAGAATTGTGTTTAGGGCATGAATACAGTGAAGAGTTACATGAGTCTTAGATTTTGATGTTGAGGTTGAATCCACATATTGCATGCTGGGCAGACTGGAGGACCACGAGTAACACCAGACCTGAGAGCAGGAGGTCTGGCCAGGTTGTCAGCAACGCTACAGGTAACAAATGTGGATGAGGTCAGGCGCGCAAGATCCTGCCAAGTTTCAGTAAGTGTATGACCACACCCCATCTGCCAGATGGGAAAATTGCATGAAAAGCTGAATTCCACTCCCTCCAGCAAGTCACCAGGGCCACACTGCTGAGTAAAGAGAGCAGCTTCCAGGGAGCATATGATTGATTGGCAAATGTGCCCTATTCTGAAAAACATGACATAACTGCACGTGAGAGGGAAAGCAGAACCTGTTGGTGTGCAACTAATTCATTCAAGGCAGAAACAGGCGGGTCAGGGTTCCACATTCTCTGTAGGAAAACCTGGGCATTTGTAACTGATTGTCGTTTGCACCTTCAATCCTGACGCTTGTGCTCATGGGAAGGACGACATTCATGATTTGACATAGAAGGAAGTTGTGTCCCACAGAAGTGTTCAATGCTTGCTGATAAACCTGGATTGCGCAGTGCCACAGAGAGGACAGCAGGAGGCTGAGAGATACAGACCAGTCCTGGAAGCCCAGACTGAGGCCCTGCTGCGTTGCTGTCAACCCATGGCATCACCACAGACAAGGCATGATCCAAACAGAATAAGGTAAAAGCATGTGATGCCAGTGTTTGAATCAATATTTTACGTCTGGAATTTATGAATGAAAATTCAGGTGGCTTATCCCAAAGAAGTAAACTGATGAGAGGAAGAGAAAGAAGTATTTGCATTAATATCTCGTTTACAGAGAGGGAGCAGATCTGAGCCTAATCTGAAGACAAAGCTCCCAGTTTGCTCTGGACCCATGTTCAGGAACAAACTACTGTTGCTGCTGCCAACACAGACCTAGGGTGCTCTCAGCAATAGGTCTTGCTAAGCTGCTGGGCTGAGGAAAGGTAGACATATCCTAGTTGTCCCCTCCTCTGGGTGATGCAGTCCTTGCATCTAGACTTTCTCTGAGGGTGCACTATTCCTCTTTAACTGAGCAGTGAATTTGCCACAGGTATTGTGACCAAAAGGAAGAATGAGAAGCCATCCTCAGTCCCAATAGGGACTGAGGTAGGATCTCCTGTGGAGGTTAGTCTTGATGGAAGCACCCTAAAAAAAGCCTTGGAATCTCTGAGGAGTTGGCTCCCACAGATCTTTCTTCATTTAAGTTGACAAAGGTAAAGGAGTTAAGTCTCAGCACTATGAAGCTATCCACAGCCACTACAACATGGGTTCAATCACAGCCAGGGAGGTGACCTACATGGTACAGCAGACCTCTCCTGACCTGCCTGCTGCTCTCCTCAGCAGTGTGTTCCATTAGATCTGCCTGTTCTGCTTCCCACTCTATCTCTGGTGAATCATCTCAACCCTACACACATACATCTGGCCTGCACCCCGGCTCTTGTATGTATAAAAAATAAAAGTAAAATCTTAAAAAAAATAGGGTGATCCTCAGCCCTAACTGCACATTGCAATCACCATGGATGGAAGTTTTAAAAATACAGCCATGTGTATCACATCCCCAGAAACTAATTTAATTGGAAATGTATGGCTCCTAGGCATAAAGACTTTTTTTTTATTACAAAAGTTTTTTTTTACATCATTTTGTACATTTTTTTTCCATCTCAATTGTAATCCCCGCGGGTTTCCCATCACCAAGTCACCCATGTGCCATCACCATAATCCCGTGCATTTTCCTCCCCCCACCCCGTTTTTGATCCCATTGCCCACTCCACCCCCACAAAATGTCTCTGGTATATGGTTGTTCATTATTTTTGTTATTTTCCACCTGGTCCATTATACTCCTGCTATGAGTGAAACCATCCGGTATTTTTCTTTCTCTTTCTGGCTTATCTCACTAAGCATGATCTTTTCCAGCTCCATCCAAGTTGCTGCAAAAGACATGTGTTTCTCTTTTTTGGTTGCTGAGTAATATTCCATTGTATATATGTACCACATCTTTCTAATCCAGTCATCTACTTTTGGGCATTTGGGCTGCTTCCATGTTTTTCCAATTGTAAATAAAGCAGCAATAAACATCGGGGTACAAGTATCTTTTTCAATCAGTATTTTTGTTTCTTTTGGGTAGATACCTAGGAGTGGGATTGCTGGGTGGTAAGGAAGCTCCATGTTTAGCAGTTTGAGGAACCTCCAAACAGTTTTCCATAGTGGTTGTACTAGTTTGCATTCCCACCAGCAGTGCAGGAGAGTTCCTTTTTCACCACATGCTCACCAACATTTGTTGTTGCTAGTTTTTTGAAGATGTGCCATTCTCACTGGGGTGAGGTGGTATCTCATTGTGGTTTTAATTTGCATCTCCCTTATTACGAGTGATGTTGAACATTTTTTCATATGCCTGTTGGCCATCTGCATTTCCTCTTTGGAGAAGTGTCTTTTTAGCTCTACTGCCCAATTTTTGATAGGGTTGTTTATTTTTGTTGAGTTTCATCAGTTCTCCATATATTTTTGTGATCAGTCCTTTATCGCTACTTTTGTGTGAGAAAATGTTTTCCCAATTAGCGATCTGTCTGTTTGTTTTTAGTAATGTCTCTTTTGCTGTACAGAAGCTCTTTAACTTGATGTAGTCCCATCTATTTATCTTTGCCTTCGCTATTGTGGCGTTGGGTGATCTGTCTTTAAAGATGTCGCTGAAGTGTATGTCGTGTAGTGTTTGACCATCTTTGCTTCTAGGTATTTTAAGGCATAAAGATTTTTTTAAAGCACCTAAATGGCTCGGAGATTGAGACCCTGCTCTAGTTTGGCATAGTCCCAAGTACTTATATATTAATTCTAAACATGGTCACCTGGGTAGATGGTTGGTAATTGACAAATAAGTATTAGTTTGAGACAAACACTTTAGGGGAAAAATCCAGGTAGGCTGATTGCTATTCAAGATATGGCTTTAGTGCAGTCACACATTATAGCTAAACCTGTAGCAGATATGAAACTGGGGTAAAGGGTATCATTCAATAATTAACAAAGAATGAAACAAAAGGAACAATAAATGTGTGAATTCAACCAACTGAACTCAACTAAGAAGTTCCTCCACTAAATTTGAGGATGGAGGTGATCTCTTTCATGGGAAAAAAAAAAAACTATTAGGGGCAATACCAATACCTTGTCTCCCCACCCACCCCCATGATTGATAAGAATCTACAGTAAACATCCATTATGTCTATAATGGCCAAGGAATGTTTATTCCATAGTGACTTTTCAGAGAACAGAATTAAAATCAATACAATATTGATTTTAGTCTTTGTGAAATATATCACCAAATGTTTATATATGACTTTTAAATGCCAGTACATTAAAGCAATGGAGCACACTCTTTCTTTGGTGAGACCAGGGTAATTCAAGGTTACAAGTGAATGTCTAGTCTTTCTTCCACAATGTAACAGAAAGAGCTTTCTAAAGTACAACACTGATCTCTGCTACAGGTCCCCTGACAGTCCTCCACTGTGTCCCCACAGGTACCCATGTCCTCCTCCAGCCTTCCTCTTTCAGAGTCCTCTTACCACCCTGTGCTGTAGTCAAACCTGAGTCCCCAGGAACTCTGCTGTAAAAGATCTGTCTTTGTACTTCTTCACTTTCTGGGATGACCTTCTTCTTTGTACCCAGTCTTCCCAGTTCTGGGGGGGGGGGAGGGGGAGAAAATCACTATACCTTTTAAGTTACATAATTCAACCACTGTCTCTTTTTCCCCCTATTCACACTAACTTAGTGCCTTAAGCTTGATCACATTTACATTTGCTTCCCTAACTTCGCATCTAGACTTTGAGTTCTTTGATAAGACTGTATTTTATGCACTTACACATCTAGCACTTATAAGACAAACAAAGTTATGAAATTTGAGTTAGATTTAAATGAATGTATTGAATGAATGCAATTAACTTTCCATAAATTCACCTCCTCTTCTCCTCTTCCTCTCTCTCAAGACACACACCTCTCATAGCCATATTTCCAGTCAGTCTGCCTGTCTTACTCACCACCGATGTTCTATGTCCAAGGCAGAAGTGAAGAGCTGTTTTCTTGATGTAGAAATTCCAAGAAAGAGCAATTCTGAGAACCTGGGCTTCCCGAATCACTGTACAGCTTCCTCCTGGATAGAAAGCTAGCCTTGCAATTGGCAGAGTAAGCTCTGTCTGTCCAGACCCCTCTCCCTCATACTGCTATTGCTGTCTTTACAGATTGTAGATGCAAATCTGTAAGAGGGTCCTCTGAAAGTTGCTGGTCCTGAGACTGCTCCCAGATTCCTGCTGCATAGGATGGGCAGAATCTAGGAGCCCTTATTGTACCTAGCCAGGACTGGAAGGTTGTATTTTGTAGGCAAAGAGGGAATGATGTGCTGTGGTTGCTGTCCAGGGTGCTGAATTTTAGTAGCAGCAAACCAGGGACATGGGCTGTGGACATGGAGCTGTCCGCTGTGCTGATTCCCCTCAGCCCACTCATTGTTGACACGGGTCTACCTACCTCAAGGTGCCGGGGCTGTGGGATTTTCAGACTTTGACATATTGACTTGGATGGTTTGCTGCTGATAGTTTGCTTGAAGTAGAGAAGTTCTTTCAGGCAATGGAGAGCAAATCTTAAACTGCTGGGCCACTGAAAGTTTTTCAGAATGAAATGGAGGGTACTTTTCGGAGTCAGTGCCCTCACTGCTGGATTTCTCATGAACTGCCCTTATGATTTTCTTGATTGCCAGATGAAATATTTCTAAAACATTGAACAAAGAGATGGTAGCAATGCTGTGCATAAAGGTCATGAAAATGGTTTTTTCTGTGGACCTTAATACAAAGCAATCCACTGAATTGGGGCAAGGAGATTGAGTGCATTTGTAAAGGGAACACATTTGAAACCCATAAAGAATATCCTGAACCCTACTTCTAGGACAGAGCTGGTCAAAATATGTAAAACGTAAGTATGCACTAAACATCCTTTCAGAGGGACTCTGGATCCTCTTGTGTTCCTCTAACATTCGCAGTTCTCTATCTATCCTTTGTTGTTCCTCCAATTCAAGTTTTGGATTCTCCATGTGGGCTCTAAGATGTGACTTCTTTCTCTGCCTCTCCTTTTCAAAAGCCCTAAGTCTATAAAGTGCATGCCTCATATACATCAGGGAGGGAGAAGACACAAATATAATCTGTAAAACCCAGAACTTGATCAAAGAAATAGGGAAAGCATCATAACAGACATTGCTGCAACCTGGTTGCTGGGTATTGCAGGCAAAGGCTGATTGTTCATCATCCCACACATCTTCAGCAGCCACACCAACTATCAACATTCGAAAAATGGAAGAGGATAGTAAGCCACATTTTCCCCACTATAGTTGAATGGGAGTGAACTTCCTCTAGGATGCCACCCAATAAATTCCAATCCCCTGTGGTAAGAGGATAATATCTGAAATACATAGAAAACAGGTTAATAGCACCTATCAATATAATGTGTAAAATTACAGGCTCATCAATCCCCCTAATATTTATGGTTCATTCTTGATGTAATACGTTTCCAAGGAATATCAGGTTTTGAAGAAAACACAAACAACTCTCCACAATTTGACCGTATTTTCTTCCTGCCCTCATCTTCTTTCCCACACAAAAGTAGTTTTATCATTCTAGTAGTCACTGCCCTCCATATATTTACTATGTATTCCATTCTACAATTTGACTTTTCTACCCATTTGAGTCATCCCATTTACATTCCCATTTAGATCATCCTCCTACATTATCTTAAATAATTGTCAACTCCTTCTGAAAGTTTTCCATAGACATCCCAAGTCAAAGTGAGTGATAAGTTTCCATTCCTGAGTTCCCACGTTATTTATACCACTCATTGGCATTTGCCTAAAATGAGTCACCCTCCTGGTAAGATACACACTTTGCAGATAGAAACTTTCTATAGCATTTTGGTTTTTGCATACAGAAAAATATCAATAAGTAATATTCTATTGAATTGTCTTTCAAATTTTGGTTTCTTGATTCTTATCATTGGAATAATCATGAAAGAATTAAAAAATCCAAAGCTTCCATTTTATGTAAAAATCTTCAAGTAGGAAAGCCAATTCATTTAATTAATTTAGTCTCCATTTGGCAATCCTAAAGTATTTAAAATTTCTTTCTGCCATTATCCCTTTAAGGCTTGTAGATCACTATAGCAATTCAAGGAAACCAGGCTACATGAAAATATAATCATGATTAACATGCAAGAGCAAGAACCTTTAGACAAGCATTCCTGTTTCCCAAAAATAATTTACCATTGAAAGACTATGTCTTAAAAATACTCTGAATTAAAAATACTCTGAATTCAACGGGGGGGCGGGGGAAAGGAGGGAAATGCACGGGACTATGGTGGTGGCACAGGGGTGATTTGGTGATGGGAAACCCGTGGGGATTACAATTGAGATGAAAAAAAAATGTGAAAAAAAAAAAAATCTTCCGCGTCCCATTCTGTGTACCCTTTAACTGAAAATAAAGAGCTTGACATCCTGAAAAAAAAAAAAATACTCTGAATTCTATTATTAAATATTAATTCAACTTCTCTGATTTAAAAAGTGGTAGCTCTTAACTTTATTTTTCTATCCCATAAGAATTTCCTATTATTTCTTATTTTAAAATAAAAAGCTCACACATTTGCTACTTATCTTATTGGTGGACACACAAACAAAAAAAATCACAAGTGAGCTCAAAGAACCTTAAATTTGGACTATGTATGACTAATTAGCGAAAACAACTGCTGCTGGTTGCAAATACAGACCCTGATCCACTGATTAGAAGCCCAGTTCAGAATTACCACAGTAATTTTAATCAATGGAATGTAAGCTACTCTTCCCCCAAAGTTCTAAGTGTCCTTTTGGTACTTTGCAATCCTCTTGCAATATTTTTTTTCTAATTTACAACAAGCTGGGCTCATCTTGGTATATGGAAATGAAAAGTGAAACAAGTGAGAATTTTCTTTTTTGTGGATGAATGTAAGTGGTTTTAGCTTGAGTTTTTTACATTCAACTCATTGCTCTAGCAATCTATGCTCACAGATCAATGGTCATGTCCAGTTTCATCAAAGCTGCTTGGGATATGTCTGGCTACATCAAAATGTGAACAGTCATGCTAAAAGGAGAAACATCTCAGAGACTAAGCAATTTTAGAACCAAGAGAGGGGGCTGTGCTTACCTATAGATTATTTTATTCTGTTAGGATGAAATAGATAGCTCAGGAGAAAAAAATACATTTCTGTAAAGAATATGAAAGTTGGGACCTCCCTGGTGGCACAGGAGTTAAAGTCTCAGCGCTATCAAGCTATCACCAGTCACTGTAGCATGAGTTTGATCCCCAGCCAGGGAGCTAAGCAACAAGACACAGCAGACCTCTCTGGTCTTGCCCACTGCTCTCAATAGTGTATTTCAATAGATGAGCCTATTCTGCTCTCTACTTCATCTCTGGTAAATCCTCTCACCTCCTGCACCTCTAGCCTACACCCCACTTCTTGTATCTTTAAAAAAAAAAAAAAAAAACATGGCTCCTAAATAGATTTCTAAGTCTTCTCTTGTCCATAAAAATATATAGAAATTACATAAAATTGTTGATGGCCTGTTAGTATCACCTGCCTATCCTACTTTCTGATATATAGTTTTAAAGATAAAAAGTAAACAGCTAAGGTTAAATTTTCACTACTTACTAGACCAGCCTCAGAACCAACTGTCAGAATTGACTAAAAAAAAACTTGAAAATTTATGATACATTAATATGTATATGTACAGTATTGGGTATACTGTCCAAGAAAGTCCTTGACATTTTATTCTAAATTCACCTGCCAAACAATTCATCTAATATCCTTAAACATTTAATCAGCATTAAAACTTTCATGTGTAGAATAACTCAAATGAGCACACAAAAAACTCTTAACAGTAGTTGCCTCAAGAGAGGTATTTAAGATAACCTGACACCAATTCCAATGAGCATGTAGAGGCTTCCCCATGCCAACAATTTCCAGACACCAACAGACTGTCCAAGTATTCAACTATATTCTGACACTATCTATCAGAAGAGTGTCAGATTCCACAAGTTAAGGGCTTTTCCCCAAATTCACCTTCCATTTCAGATGTTGCCACCTGAGAATCTGAACAACCAGCTAATTTGGAGGTTCAAACGACACCCTCCTCAGACTTCAGGTGCTCCACATACACAAGCCCAGAGTGTTAGCTGTGCTTGTAACCCAACCTACCAACTATAGATCAGAGCTCCTAGAACATCCTCTTCAAGTTCAAATAATTTGCATTAATTTGAGGATCTTTGCAACAATGTATTACACTAGGTCATGAGGACATGATTTACTTATATTATTGAATTCAGTTTGCAAATTTTGTTGAGGATTTCAGTATCCATGTTCATCAGGGATATTGGTCTTAGCTGTGTGTGTGATACTCTTGTTGCTTTTGATAGCAAATGTTGATCTCATGTTTTTGCAGGTATTCTCTCTTACTCAATTTTGTTAAGTTTGAGGACAGTTATTTGATCTTTAAAGGTTTGGTGGAAATTACTAGTGTAACCATTGGTCCTGGGCTTTTGTTTTATTGTTTTATGAGAGAATTTTAATTATTGTTTCAATATTCTTGCTTGAACTGGTTTGTTCACATTTTCTATTTCTTCCTGCTACAACCTTGGGAGGTTTTATGATTCTAAAGATTTGTCCATTTCTTCTAGATTTTCCAATTTGTTTGCATAAAACTATTAAACTAGTATCTTAAGATCCTCTGTATTTGTGATGGCTCCTCTTTTCTCATTACTCACTCTATGTACTAGAATTTTAGGGTTTATTTTTAATGAGCCTTGCTAGTGGTCTATTTTATCTTTTCAAAGAGCCAGATTTTGGCTTCACTGATCTTTTGAACTGTGCTTGATTTCTATTTACTTCTGCTGTTTATTTCCTTCCCTCTAGTGACATTTGATTTCATTTGTTCTTTTTTCTAGTTCTTTGAGACCTTTATTTCTTACTGTGTTGCTAGAAACTTCCCTTTAGTACTGCTTTTGTAAGATCCCATAGCTTCTGAAGTCATGTCTCCATTTTTGTCTATCTGTAGGTACTTCTCAATTTCTTCACGAACCCAACAGTAGTTCAGTAGTATACTGTTTAGTCTCCACATACTTGAGGGTTTTTCCCACTGTCTTTTTGTAGTTGATTTCTGAAGATACTTGATATTATTTCAATCTTCTTGAACTTATAACACATTTTGTGACCCAACATATAGCCTTTATCAAGAAAGCTCCATGTGCAACTAGAACATGTATTTCGCTTTTATAAGGCATAGTCACTGCCTTGTAACAGTCAATTAAGCTCATCTGGTCTAATTCCTCACTTAAGGTTGTTGATTTTATCTGGTTGATCTGTCTATTGGTTTAAAATGGGTGTTAAAATACCATACTACACAACTGAAATTGAAAAAAAAAATGTACAAAATGATGTAAAAATAAACTTTTGTAAAATAAAAAAAAAACACCCTACTACTGTGTTGATGTCTGTTTTCAGGTTTATTAATAGTCGCTTTACATATTTTGATGCACTGGAAGGTTTTCACAATTTGATTTTACCATTCATTCTTCAGCATTTTTTTTTTACTCTATTGTATTTCATTCTAAACATGCTTTTATATTTCTACTTGGGTCATTATCCTAATTCTTGTTATTACATTGCTAAAATCTTCCCTTTACTGGCTTTGTTTTATAGTCTGATGGTGTTAGGTAATCCAGTCTGTTTTCTTTTAAACCAGTGGTATATCTTAGTTCTACCACAATGCTTTGCCTTGTACACTCTTTCACATGGTAGTATGAGCTCTTCTGAGTGATAGTATACACTGGGAAAGAGTTTAGAATCAACCTTCCCACCTATGTTGGATGTTCAGAAAGAAATAAGCCCTATGGTGATCAGGCACATGTATGAAACTATAGCTAATTACTTCAATATGTAATCTCCCAAACAATCCTGATATCAGGGTATTTGCTAAGGCATTTCCTAGAGTCCAGAGCCTATATCAAAATCCACTAGTCCCATGAGTCTGGTGTGGGAAGAGTGAATAAATAAAGCAATCTAGCCAATCCTTACTTGCTTTCCCCAAAACTTCACCCAAAGGCTTTTGTGGTGGACTGATAATATCTGTGAGGACACCTGCAGCAGAGGTCTGTACCTGCTCTGAGAAAGCAGGCAAAAGCAACTGGTTTTCTCTGATGAACCTCTTCATAGACACAGAGCCTCTCTCTCTCTCTATCCCCCATTCAGCTTCCCCACTTCCCTTATCTCTCACACACACAAACACACCAAAAACAACTTTTGAGTAAACCCTTATGTCCCCCGGGAGTTTTACCTCCTTTTTAAATAACTATTATCTATATACACTAAAAGAAACATTCTAATCATAATGTAATAGAACTTCACATGGTTTTATTCATACATTACTGGTAATGAAAGCAAACTTTATACAAAAGTGTTTATACAGATAAAAAAAAATCCTTGGTTAAGCAAAGTCATTTATGTGTGTACATACACACAAATACACATACACAAAGTATTTTACATCATAATTAGACATATTTACAATTACAATATTTAAATTATTTTACAATTTGCCAAAATAAGGCAATTAGAAAAGCAAATAAAAATGGATGAAACCAAGTAAGTAATTGTTACGTTGAATGTTACAAAACTATTTTTAAAAATGTAGAAAAGAAAGGCATTTCTTTGAAATACAAAACTAAGGGTTCAATACTATATTGTTGCTTTTATCTTAATAACAAATCCTAACCTGTTTAAAAATAAATATCTTGACCAGACTGATATGCTGAACATGCTGACTTGAGATTAAAGAGTCAGCAAATAGTAGCAAATGTAGGTTATTTGCTGGTAATCAAATATGTCATAAAGCTGCCCTCTACTTCCCCATTTAAAACATGAGGAAGTCCAAACTTCTGTGTCATATATGATATCAATTAAGACTCCAAGTAATTCAGCAACTCATCTGTAACGTAAGAAAATGCTAAAGTTATGATACTATTTTAACAGTTCATAAACTGTTTTTCTTTTGAATCATAAACTGTTTTTCTTTTAAATGAGGTCTACTTTGATAAAACTGATATTAGAGGATCAAGTTTTTTACAAAATCAGTTTGGTAACTTAATCAATAATATCATCAGACTATAGTACTTGGAAGGGAAAAATCAGTTAAGAGACAATCTAGAAATAAACTGCCCATTACTTATGCTGTCATGCAAACAAGTAAGATTTCAAGTATCAAATATATTAAAAAACTTTAAACTGTAGGGGCCCTCCCTCATGGCACAGCAGTTGCAGCTGGTCGTAGCTGCTTCAGCACAAGTCCAATCCCCAGCTGGGGAGGTGACCCACATGGCACAGCAGACCTCTCCTCTCTCTCACTGCTCCCCTCAGCAATGTACTTCATCAATCTGCCTGTTCTGCTCCCCATTATGTCTCTACTGAATGGGCACCCCTGTACCTCTGGCCTGTACCCAGGTTCTGTATGCATAAATAAATAAAATCTTTTTTAAAATGTTTTTTAAACTATAAATAAAAAAAGAAAAAATTAATTTGTAATGGAATTTAGAAATATCAAACTAATCAGTACCACTTGCAGATCCAAGTTTGATCCTTCTGTGACTATATATTATCTTTACAAGAGAACCTAAGTTATATAACCAGGTCATGTTTTGCTTTGAGGTTCTTTAGAATAAGCTTTTTCTTCAGATTCCCCATTATTCAAGCTACATTTTGAATTATATAAATTTTTAACTTCATAGTAAACTTATCTTTTGAAGATGTCATTGGGAAACCAACTCCTTTAAAACAATACTGAAATCAACAATTATCCAAAGACAGAAATTTGCTATGGATTAGAAACAAATTTATAACTTGAAAATATTTAGAACCTTTTCTTAATGAAATCTATATCCAAATCTGGTTTCTACTCAGATTTAACACTAATTTCATTAAAAATTTGGGTGTTCCTTTTCTTAATAAACTTGCCATGTATGCTCGTTTAAAAAAGAAAAATTGGGGTGTTCTGCAAATAGTAATGACTACAAATCAATTGAAAAGTGGCAATATGTTAAACATCTTTATCATTTTCCTTACATAAAAATCGCAAATATGCAAATTCAGTCTCACAGAAAAAAAAAAAAAGCTTTGATGAGTATTATTGCCTTCACTGTTGTCTTAACAAACCTGTGCAAATGAAGCCTAAAGAAGCTGAGGAAACAAGTCTAATGAACATTATTAAAAATTTACATTGGTAAATCATATCATTTATTCAGATGACAATGGATTTTAGGTTTATGTTATGCTTTGTATTTTCAAGTATTTCAGCAGTCCTAATTTAAAAACATGAAAAATACTAAACAATCACTGTACAGACTTCATTTGCTCGGAAATACACTATTCAAGAGTGTTTTTCTTCCCCTAAGAAAAACTTAGTGTAAATCATCAAATGGATTCCCCTCCACCTATACCCATCAGCAATCAGAATGCTGAGGAGAGGTCCACGCTGACCCGAGCTGCAGCTGGCTTCACTCTGAGCACACCCCTGCGAATGAGGTGAACTTAGAAGCCTTAACCAGCCACCATGCTCCAATATGTGACTGAAGCAGCAACACAACTGGATACCTCTCACCCATTACCTGCAACTTCAACGGCTAACTGATTACTAACTGCAGTTAGTGTCACACATTTAACAGTCTTTACTCATTTCCTGTAGTATAACCATTAACTACCTGCATTTTGACTTTTCAAAGAGCTCCTTTAGTTGATGGAATCTTTCTGAGACCTGAAAAAATTTAAATGAGTGTTAAATTACAAAAATCTCAACAATACTTATCTGTGATTAGTATTTTCAAAACTAGGCAGAGATATCTTCAATAACATATATTTAGAAAAGTAATCCTCTCACTCCCCACACTTCTGGCCTATACTCCAGTACTTATACTCATAAATAAATCTTTAAAATAAATACAGAAGACCCACGAATAACTTTTTAGTTTGTTCAACACTGTTTCACTGTAACATTGATAAGTGAGGACTTACTGGTAATAAAAGAGAAAAACTAGACTCATTCTAAACTTCTTCAACAATTACCAAGGTTTTAAGTCTTACATGAAACATCATACTTATAAAAGAAATTGGCTAATAAATACTTAATGTTTTAAACATGTTAAAAATTAAATCTGCAATTTAATTATTTAAATTTTAATTCCTAAATAACTTTAGTATAGCATTTAGAGTAGTAATACCTATAAACTGAGGTATAAAAATTGGGTGGTTACCTGATACGGCTTTTTATTCAACTTGGCAGCTAAATAAGAAAATGTTTTCGATGACGGTGCTCTTTTCTGACACTCCAGTAGAATTTCCCGGTCATCATTTCTGAAGGGGTAAAAATAAGACTTAAAGCAGAGGTAAGAGAAATCTCAAATGACTAATGCCCACCAATAAGAGGAGGAATTCCTATTTAAACCCACAGGAAAATGAATACCATACAAAATGGCTATCTCTGAGATATAAGATTATGAATTTAATTTTTGAGCTCATATGTACTTCCCAAATTTTCACAAGTATAGTAATTTATCTTTTTTTTTTAAGGTTTATTTATTTATTTATGCATACAGAACTGGGGTACAGGCCAGAGGTGCAGGAGCAATGAGAAGATTTACCAGAGGCAGAGTGGGGAGCAGAACAGGCCAACTGAAGAAATACACTGCTGAGGGGAACAGTGGGCGGGCCAGGAGAGATCTGCCACACTACGTGGATCACCTCCGGGCGGGATCCAACTCATGCTAAAGTGGCTTTAGCGTCTCAGTGCTGTGCTTTAACACGCTGCACCACCAGGGAGAGCCCGTAATTTATCTTTTAAACGAAATTATTCTCACACACACACATTTCTTTTAATTTTACCTTTAATGTGTGCAATACTTTCAAAATTAGGGCCCAACCATGATCACTGACTTAAGCAGCACAAGAACCAAAAGTAAAATAGAACCAAGATCTAATTCCTAGACCTCTCCTTTTCCTACATGGTTTGGGCCACTATGTGTTATTGTAATCTCTTGAGATTTTACTGTCATCTCCAAGTTATTTGAAATGAAAGCACAGACTATACTAGCAGACAGAATTGATCATAATTTCAACAAAATTCAGCTTCACCATGTAATTTCATCAAGTCTGGAAATCATGCACCTCCAGTACAATGATTCACAATTGTAGCCTTCCTTACTACTGAAATGGGGCCTTTAAATCTGCATATCTTAAAAAAATCACATCAAAGTCACAAGTACAACTTGTTCATAAAACTTTTTTGAAGCTTTCACTTAGGGGGAAACAAACTATAAATGCTCACTTTTTGCCAGATTTCACCTGTCATCCCTCCTTTCTAAAATGTGTTCAAATCAGTTCCTTAAAAATGAAAAAAATCAGTTCCTTAAAAAAGGGCCCTCCCTGATGGTGCAATGGGTTAAAGCGCATTAAGGGGTTAGAGGGGGCCCTCCCTGGTGGCGCAGAGGATTAAAGCACAGCACTAAGAAGCTTAAGTCACTTCCACATGAGTTTGATCCCTGCCTGCCCCGGAG